AGAGAGAGAGAGAGAGAGAGAGAGAGAGAGAGAGAGAGAGAGAGAGAAAGAGCTCCAAAACCTTTGATAGGAATAAAAAATTGGGTCTTGCTGTCAGGTTCTATATTATCTTGAAGTACAGATGTCTCAGCCTGTCTAGCTCACCCTCCCGTGGCCCTCTCTTTCCCACTGCAGGGGGACATTCCTCAAACCTCAGCCTCTGGCATGCAGTAAATCTGCCTGAGAGAGACCTCTCCACTCTCTGGTCTGCCAAGAACCCTCCGCCAAGCAAGACGTGCAGCTAAACACCTATTTATCAGTTCTCAGCTTCTCTCTGTTCCTCATAAGTTCATTCAGCTGCCTGTAAATGATCCGACTAGGGCATTTCATGTCTGCCTGAGGCAAAGTGCCATGGATCAAGGTGAGGTGAAGGAGCAACTGTGAAAAGTTGTTAATGGGACAAGAGGAGCTCCACAGGCACTCCCTCCCTTCCTGCCTCCTGGAGGAATGCATGACTCTGACTTCTCACTGTATAGCTCTTCCAGGGCGATAGCTAGCTATCCCATTTTAAAAAAGGAAGAGGCCCTGGCAGCATTCCCTTTCTTTGTATCTGTCTGCACACCTGCACTGAAAGTAAAACTGTACTTTGGGAGGAATGATTCCTTGGACTGACTCGTGGAGCAGTGCAGAACATCCGGGATCACCTGCATGAATCTGTATCTGATTATTTCACATTTCTTTCTGGGCCATTTAGAGGCCGAATAGAGGAGTATGTTTGAGGAAAAGAATCAGTTGGCATGCAGGCGTGAGCCAGACGCAGGTGTTCAGACTGTGAAATAATGTGTGATGTATATCACTACTGCCAGAGCAACATGGGATGTCTGTATTTGAATCCAATAGTTACTTAACATAACGCTCTAAAACATCGCAAGCTGGCTCAACTTAAAAAATAGGTTCCCCTTGGACAACTTATTCTGTATGGCTGTCTATTAAATTATAATAGGGGGTTAGGGACTGAAGTACATACTAAACTTCATCATAGTTTGCATTGTTAACTTGAGTAAGTTCCGTTTTTCTGTTTGTCAGCAGGATTACAAAAAAAACACTCGATTTTCTTGAAACTTGGTTGAAGGTTGTAGAATGAGCCGAAGGTCCAAATCACGAGGCGGATACACAGACAATTTTTTACTTTCATTAAGATAGTGAGATGGAGGATTTGTCCTTTCACTCTTCAAGTGAAAAAACAAGTGTGACTCTCCTATCTGAATGGTAAATATGAAGTTACAGCTATTTACATGTAGCTTTGCTGAGCATAACCTCGCTCAGTCAAAACTTTCCAGGCTAATTGAATTTCCCAGTTTCCAGTCTTTGAGCTAAGCTATTATGGCTGTGACTTGATATTTACTGTGCTGACCTGATAGTGGTGTCGATCATCTCATCTAACTCACCGCAAGAAAGCAAATAAGCGTATACTATTCTTTTAGCTGGCTAAAGGACACATCAAGTTTCCATCATGTATGTTTTCTTTAACTACAAAAAGGAATGGTCTCTGGAGAGTTTGAACCCTCAAACAAAGCATGCTGGGAAGTCTGCTAATACATTGTTCATGATTTCACCCAATTTATCATTTCTAGTCAGAATAACTAATATATGTTTATGATGTTTATACGTTTGAGATGCATCTGAGAACCAGAACTTTTAAGGAGAATTTTATTTTTTAATAAATGTATTTGATAAGAGATTAGTTGTTTCTGCTAATTTGCTGTATGATGTTTCACAGTGTATACAATATAATTCAACACGGTTACACAACCCTGTACTCCGAACCGCATCTCACAGAAGCTACTT